TGAGGCTTGGTGAGGACTGAGTCTCCAGGCAACCCGGCAGAGCTGGGGCCCAAACCCAGTCGACCTTGACCTCAAAGCCCCAGGTCTTTGGGCTGAGAACAGCCATGTGCCAGTTGTGCCAAAAGCCAACTGACGTTCGGGGCAGAAATTCTCCAGCATCCGAATGGGTAAGACTTGCTCCACAGGTCAGGCCAGCCCTTGGGGGGCAGTGTGTTCCCGTGTCACCTGCCTGCTCTCCAGCTGTTGTTGAAGATCGGCTAAGGAGATTGTGGCTAGGGCCGGTGGAGAGCGGCCAGCCACCTCTGCCGGCACGTTCTCCGTGTGCCACTCGGGCTTCGAGTCCGCGATCAGACAATGGCCTCGTGAAACCATACACTTCGGCTCCCCGCTGAAACCTTACTCCCTGCGCTGCCTGTTAAAGGACAGCGTGGAAAGCTGCCCTCTGAGGTAAGTCTCAGCGTTGTGTGCCGGCCAAGGAGCCTCTCCGTCACTGTGTCGCCGACAGAAGGTGTCTGAGGATACATTTCTCCAGAGAGTTTGGTGCTGCAGCAGAAGTTGCTGTTCATAAACCAGCCCGCGCCATGGCACTCTTTGTGGGGGGCCCTGGAGTGATTTTCCTGGGCAGCCCCGAGGCTGGGAGCCACTGAGCTACCTCCGAGGTCACGCTTTGCCTTGGTGACATTGGTCTGCCCCACATCTGCCCCAGCTCCTGTCCGAGAGCAACTCCATCGTGCCCTGTTCTCATACTCTGAGCGGCTCCCCATCCTTTTTGGAATCAGGCAAGGCAGAAATGATACATGTGTAGAACTAACACTAGAAGGGTCACTGGCGTTTATTTCCAAGGCGTGTCCGCAGGTTGATTAGTCCTGGCTGTCACACAAAGACTTCTACCTGCCCCTTCCCCACCCCCCTGACCCCAGGACTTCAGGGTGAGAAGCTTTTCCTCCACAAGTGGCCCAGGGTCAGGGTCAGTTTGGGCAAAAGAAGGAACCCATGATGACACTCAAAACGCCCTCGGGAGTTAGGTGAGCCCTTCGAGGAAAGTTTTCAATACGACCATTGAACCATCAATATCCAGTAATATCCAGGAAATGCCCCCTCAGGAAGGGTGCGGAATAGGGCATCATTTTATGGTTCCCCCGGGGGGAGTTTATTTTTATTTGTGGACACACCACCTCTCTCCACAAAGGACTAGAATTACTAGCAGGCCCAGTGCGGAGCTTCCTCCTCTGTGCGCCCCCGCCAGCTTTCATGGTTCTCTATTCAAGCGCTTACTACACTACGTTGTGGCTATTGACTTACGTGACTGCCTCTCCCACTAGCTAGTAAACGCCCACTGGCTCATAAGCAGCTTCTGTGAACCCCGTAAGAAAAGATGCTTTATTTTTCTCTCTCTCTCCCTCCCACCCCACCTGCCTCCTCTCCAAGCACCAGGAGGCTGGAATAGCACCAGGGCACGTGGAGGACCTGCAACCAGTTCTCACCGAGCTCACGACGCCGGGTCCTCGGGTCTGCTCCTCCTCACCTGGCAGGTCGGAGTACCGGCCACGCCTCTCTACCAGCCGTCGGGAGGGATCTAGAAAGACGCCTCCCTCGACCAAAAAGAGCTCTTTGCCTCTGACTCCAATCCCAGACCAGTGCGGATAGAAGAGACCACGTGCCCAGTGAGGGTCTGGCCCGAGGGGCCCTGGGAGGGACAGCTGGCGCTGGCCGGCGCGTTTTTACATACCGACGCCCGTTTCGTCCTCTCCCCAGCCCAACTGCGGGGCATCTGGGACGGCGCCCTCTCACGCAGGCCTTCACGCCCACGCGCTCCCCGCCACCCCACGCCACTCCCGGCGTTGCGCCGCCGCTCACAGGCAGAGCTAGTCCCCTCGTCTCCTCACTCGCCCTGGAGCTGCTTTGTCTGCAGGACCGAGACCCCCTGTGGGCCTCGCCGGCTGGTTTGGTCTCACACGTGGCGGGACGGGGCTCACGAAGTCGAGTGACTTGCCCCAGATCACCGTGTTTGACGTGGGGCCTCCTGGACGCGTGCCGGGGGTGAGTCAGAGCAGCGGAGGTCACTGACGCCCAGAGTGGCTAGGTCAAGGTCAAACCTGCAGCCAGCAGCCAGGTTTCTTCACTAACAGAAACTGCTGGGAATCTGTGAGCATGCACTTGCCAGGTCCTGGGATTCCGCGGCCCTAACGCTCAGTCCTGCTGGAGGGGTTTTCTTCCTTTTCCACCCCCCGCCCCACCCCACCCCACCCCGCGCCTGCCTGCAGGACCTGCCCCTGGCTTCAGAAATGGGAAGTGTCCCAGGGAGATTATGGGGAAGCAGTAACATCCTCTCTCCTCTCTGTTCTTCACACTTGCTTTCCCGCTGTGAGTGGTTTGTCAGCACTGGGGAGGCGCCCACCTGCTGACCTGCTGGCCTGCTGGGTGGGCTCCCCGGAAGTCCCCCCTACCCCCAAGACTCCTGTGTGAGCCTGGGGAAAGGCAGCCCGGGTCTGAGGGTGCTCGGTTCCCGACGTGCGGTCCAGGTGACTAGCCCCTGGGAGCCGCCTGGGCTCCTGGCTTGCTGCAGGCTAAAACCCCAGCGCCGTCTTAAGCGCCAGATTATGCCCAGCGATCGTCATAGTTTCTGTGTCTCGTGTGCCATTCATTCTGGAGGTGCTGGCAGTCCTCGGGGCACACTGTTCACTCTGAAGGGGCCCCTTCTGCGCGGGATGTGAGTGTCGCTGAGTCCGGCCGCCAGCTCTGGCCCGAACTGCTGCAGGGCAAACTCGGGGGGCCTGCGAGGCCCAGGACTTAATCTGCGTTACCTGTATTTGTATTTGCACTCACCCTCCACCCCAAACACCCAGCTTCACCCAGTGTTCCGTTGAGCCCGGAATCTTTCCTGATCTCGAAGGAACAGAGGAACAGAGTCTGTCCTAGGTCAGGGGCTTAGCCTCAGAGCCGGGCTGTACTCCAGCCAGTCCTGGCCTCCGCGGAGGCGAGAGCCACGTTCTCTCCTTGTCCCTCCCAGAGGCATCCGCTGGCCTGCTCTGGCCCTCCCCAGAGGACAGCTGGACCTTGCCTCAGTGACCAGGACTTCAGCTGGAGTGACAGGACCCTGGGTCACCGCCTTCCCTGCCCCACCCCGCACTCCCCCCAGGGCCCATGACTAGGGCTTTTTGTGCCGTCATGGAGTTGGCACCCTCTCCCTCTCTGGCCAATAATGCTGGCTGTTGTCTCGGAGCAAATGGAGCAAGTGACCACCGTGAACTCCAGGCCATCTACAAACTGGAGACCTCAGTGGGGAGGCTGGCAGGGGGCAGGCTGCAGTGGCGGCGGGGAGGGCTGGGAGGGCCTGTGGGAGGGAGATGCCAGGACCTCAGGGAGGAGAGGAAAGGGCACAGCTTCAGCCCAGCAGGCCCTGAGACTCCTGCCAGGCCCCCAGCCCCTCCTCCCCTTCACTTGGAAATGAAGGGAGTCTACACATTACAGCCTTGTATAAATGTCATGTTACATGTTCGATTCCGTGTCAAAGCTGGAATGGTTCTGGAAAGCAGCAAGGGCAACCCCCACCTCACAGAGGCCAACAAAGGCCCGAAGAGGGACTAGATGGAGCCCGTCGGCAGCAGAGTCTGAAGCGCCACCAGGCACCGTGTACGTGCGTGCTCGTGCGTCTGTGTGTGCCGTGTGGGGACTTTCCTCTGCAGTCATACAGAAATAGCAACTGCCCCTCCTGTGGGCTCCCTCCGGGCCTGGCACCATGCTGGGTGCTGCCGTGGGCTCCCCCTGGGTCCTGCCTGCCCAAGGCTGGTGAACCGGGAAGCTAGCCTCCAGCCCAGCAGCCACTCACTCCGCCCCCAAGCTTCCCCGCCTGCCAGGGCAGGTCCTGGGGTCGCTCAGCCAGTCCCCACTAATGAGTGACAGAGGCGGAGACTCCAGACTCCTTAATGCAACAGGCAGGTGGCCCCGGGGTTTGCTCTTCCCCCAGAGGAGGAGCCTGCAGGGTGAAGGCCCAGACTCTGACCTGGACCAGCCTTTCTGAGCGTGGCGTGGACTGGCCCTGGCCCTGGCCCTGGCCCTGGCCCTGGCCCGTGGGAGACGCACTGGCTCTTCCCGCCCCCCTTCCCCAGGGCCTTGGAACCAGGACACCCCCTAGTTTGGGGAGGACTGATTCTCAGTTCCCCTGTGCCTCGGACAGAAAGTACCTGTTCCCTAAACTGCAGTGTGCTGACCCCCAGCCCTGCTTTACTGATGCCGGAATCCCCGATGGACGGACATTTTCAGGCCCCGGCTGCTGGGCCAGCCTGTGAGACGGGCAGCGGGCAGGGGCTGCGTGCTCCCCTGTGGGAGCTGGGGATGGTGCCCGCCAGCCCCGTGACTGTCCCTCGTGCCAGGAGCTGTTGGGCTCTGGGGCCGCACTCCAGGGGCCCCACTGTCAGTCTGAGTGCCAAAGGAAGCCAGAGGTGACAGAGATGGGGTGTGTCTCCTGGAAACCCCCGCAGCCTCAGCGCGTGCCCTGCTCTACGGTGAGGGTGGCGTGGAGGGACCGTCGGCGTTTCATCAGGGACACGGTTTGAAGATGCTGGCAGTGCACACTCTGGGCGTGCCCCTCTGCCAGGTGTCTGCCTCGGACTGCAGAGCGGAGCCGCTCTCAGGACAGCCCTGCCCAGAAAGGGCAGACCCCCCAAATCAGGACCTGCCCTGTGATGCCCATGCTCCGTGCAGTTCCTCCCCAGAGAGCCTGCAGGATCCACGGGACTCCAGCAGGGTGACCGATGGGGGTCCCGCCCCCGCCCCCCACCCCCGGTCTCCACCCAGACCTGAGCCTGCAGCTGGGAGTCCTTTGACTGTTCCACCAGGACTTTAGTCGGGGTTGGACTCCCCTCCCAGGACTCTCCTCCACCACGTCACTGCCCAAGCACAGCCGGCCCTCCCCTCCCAGGACCCTCCTGGCGTCACCCCAGCCCGAGCCTAAGCAGGAAGCTGCTGTCAGGGCCTCTGAGAGAGGAGAGCAGGACAAAGGCCAAAGGAAGTCACAAAGATCAGCTTAAAAATAACCCCCCTCTCCCTGTCAGTCAGGAGGAGGAGCGTGTGGAGGAGCCAAGTGCCAGTGATGGTGGTGGCGGCTCAGAAAGGCCCGGAGGCAAGTCTGGGAGGCCCACCGGGGCGCCCAGCCCCGTCCTTATCAGCACCAGCAAGGCACCGCCCAGAGCCCATCTTCTCCCCGGCTTCCGCCCCAGCTGCATCTGTTTCCTCCACTTGAACAGCCAGGTTAGTGAACTCAGAAGAGCATTTCTGCCCAGCGGAGGGAGAGCACGGCCTCCCACCGAACGCACAGGGCGGGGTGCCCCTGCACCAGTGAAGCCCACGCTTCCTGACCGGCCCCCGAAGCCATCATCTGTCCCGAGAGGCAGGCACCGGGGAGGCCTGCCCATGCCGGGCGTGATGATGCCTCCCGGCACCCACACGGTGAGCGGCGCCCCCTCGGAGCCGAGATCCACGCAGCAGCACCTGCCTCCCAGCAGAGCTCTGGGCGTCGGCCCCTTTAACCCTGCCCATCCTGGGACACACTCAGGCCTCGCCGCTATTTTTAGGCGCAGTTCCCACCCTATCTAAACAGAGCTGTTTGTTTGCCGGAAGGCCACCGGTCCTAGCGGGGACCTTTTCCTGGCTCTGCTGGTTCCTCCGTGCCGTGCCAGGCCGTTGTGGTCTCGTCACACACACGCACACACACACACACACACACACACACACACACGCGCGCCTCCTGATGCATTAGAGAGAGGAGGGCCATCTTGGGGAATCCTCTGGAAAACATCTCACGGCAGGAGTGCCAACACTGGCTAAGTTAGCACATTCATAACTAAGGTCACGGAGTCCCCGTCCCCTCTCTCAAGCGGCCAGGCTTCAGCTGTTACCGAGAAACGTTCTCCGTGAGTGGCCTTCTGCGGCTGTGACAACGTGAGATGGCTCCCCAGACTCAGCAGTCGTCACCGGAGAAAAGCGGAGACCGCCGGCCCCCCTTCCCTCGTCCCCACACACCCCTGGCCGTTGCTCTCAGCCTGTCCTAGAGGGGGAGGCTTGGCTGTAGCTGGTCTCCCTGTCTTTGCATGTGGAGGAGTCCGACCAGTCAAATGTTTTCTGTCTGGGACTTTGCCCTGACCCGGGCATTTCTGAATGTCAGCCCATGAAACACACTGGATTCAAAATCCCAGCTCTCCCCCGTAGGGCTGCGTGAGTTTGGGCCAGTTCCTTTCATTGTTTGGAGCCTGTTTTCACATCTGCGAAGTAAGGAGGCTGAAACGGGTTTGTAAACGCCGTTTCGGAGAGTTGTCCAGGGGAGTCAGTGAGATGGAGTTATAAACACTCGGCCCCTAGCCCGGTGGCTCGTAGCAGGTCCGTAGCAGGTCTGTAGCAGGTCTGTAGCGGGCTGATGCACTTTCTGTTGCCGTGTGAATTACTGTGTGGACTGCGTTCCCCTTTGAACTTCACATCAGAAAGTTCAGAGCTTCTTGTTGCAACCAGTGCCCCTCTCAGCACTGGCTCCATGACGACTTTCCTTGTGTCAACAGCAAATGTTAGTAGAGTATTGCTATGTTATGCAGACCCGAACTTTGAGCGTCTTCACCCATGTCTTCGAGGTGGGCACACTGGTGTCCCCACTTTATAAATAAGTAGACTGAGGTTAGGTGACTTGCCCAAGAACACACACGCAGGAAATGGCAGAGCCAGGATTGGGAGCCAGGCAGGCCGCTGCTACAGCCGCCGCTTTGAAGCTCTTTGCTGCACCTGCCCTAATGTTCAGTGCACGGCAGGTGCCGCTCTCGGCGGGGGGTGGGGGGGTGGGGTGGGGTTCTGAGCCTAGGACAGACTTCCATGGTTCTTGCTTCCCCGGGATTTGTTTTTCATTAGCCACACTGAACCGATCATCGGGTAATGACAGCGACCGCTGATTCCGCACCTACCTATCGCTTGCGGACACTTTGCAGGCATTACCTCTAATCCAGGACTTCTCAGCCTCAGCCCCAGTGACCTTTTGGACCAGATAATTCTTTGCTGGAGGTGGGGGGCTGTCTACTCATGGTACGATGTTCAGCAGCATCCCTGGTGTCTCTCCGCCAGGTGCCCGCAGCACCCCGATACCCACCCAAGTCATGACAACCAAAGATGTCTCCAGATGTTACCGAATGTTCCCTGGGAGGGGGGCAAAATCAGCCCCAGCTGAGCACTACAGCTACAAGTGAAAAGTCTGAAGTTCAGAGAGGGTAAGCAACTTTCCCAAGTCACAAGGCTGGCAGGCAGCAGAGAGAGAATCTGACCCAAGGTTTGCCTGGCACCAAGTATTGTGTCCCTACATCGTATTCCCTCCTAGTTCTAAACAAGGACGGTGTGGCCTCGACACCAAAATCTGTTTGCTCAGGAGAAACAGCATCAATATTCTCTGATTCTTCGCCTCCAGGACTCTACAGCTTCTGGAATTACAATCTCTGGCTGCTACTTATCTGAACAGAATCTACATCTTGGGATTTTGAAGCCAAATCACCTGAGACCTAGGCCACTCTGCCAGGCGTAGGAATTTAAGCTCTCCTTTGCACTCCCGTGTCCCCCGAGTGAGCCGTGAGGCTTGGTTTGGGCATGCACCCCATTAGTTCTTCTGGGACCATGGCAAGGCTGAGGTCCTGGGAAATGATGGCGGTGATTTCGGTTTCTTGTCTTCAGCCACTTTCTAGAAAAAATGCTGAGGCCAGAATCGTAACTCAAACTTCTGCGTGACTTTCATCTCCTTTGGATTCCGCATTCATTGATTAAAATCTTCCCCGACAGAAAATGGACAGAATTTGCAAACTACACCACTTCCTGTTGCACAGAAAGATGGGCCGTTGATGGGAGACTGCCAGGCACGCAGACACAAAAGCCGCACACACGGAGACTAATTGATAGCAGAATTGAAACGACTCCAAGCCCACATTTCTTTCATCATCCTCTGCTCTCTGCTTCCCTCCTGTAGCCTCTTCTCTTCTTTGCTGGACCCTGCTGTGCACAGTTGCTTCTTGTACCTTAGAAAGCAGGAACCACGTTCCACGTGGCCTTCTTCGTGCACAGGCGAACACGAAGGGCAGCGTCACTTCTTCAGGAAACGAAGTCAGTCATCACAGAAAGCAGGGTCGCTGCCAGAGCCCGCTGGCTTTCCTGGACAAGGGAGACGAGAGCTGATGGCAGCGGCCACCTGGACCATGACATCCCAAAGCCTCGGCAGCCGTGGGAACTGCATGGTCAGTTCCTGCCCTCTCACTGTCCCCCCCCACGGCCTCCCAGAGGGTCCCTCCAGACCAGAGTCCTCACAGAAGAATTTCCATCATGAGATCATAAAATCCACAATGTCCCAAACCAGTTGGTAGGAAGGTGGTGGCAAAAGTGGGAGAGGAAAGTTCAGTCTCCAGTGCGAGAATCTGACAGAGTCGGGCCTCCTCATCAGCAGAAGCGGAGCGGAAAGCTGGCGGTAAAGACGTGGAGACTGACTCGGGTGTTGTTAACTAAGAGACCGGCTTGGGCCCAAAGCCCAGCCCAGTGTTTTTCGAATCAGGGGCACCGGCCCATCAGTGAATGGTGAAGTCAGTTTAGCAGGTCGTGAGAGGAGGGTGCTTGCAGTTCAATGGAGTGGGATGGAATGGATGTATCAGACAGCACTGCACGCAGTAAGACTGATCTTGTTTCCGTTATGTCTGTGTGATGAGAGTGATCTAGGGTGAATTCCTCTGCTTTACGCTCTCCTTAAAGTGTAAGGGACATGCAATAAACACCACACACTGAAAGGCACAGTCTGATCGATTTTGGCACATGCGTACACCCATGAAACCATCACCGCAGTCAAGATGACGTGTTTGCTGCTCCCCAGAGTCTCCACGCGCCCCTCCGCACACCGACCCTCCAACGGCTGATCTGCTCTCCGCCACTCTGGATTAGTGTGTGCTTTCTAGAGAGGTCTATGAATGGGGTCACACAGTAACTGTGCCCTTTTTTATCTGGCTTTTTTCAGTGGGCATAATTACTCTGAGACTCGTCCACATTGCTCTTGCATCACCGGTTCCGTTCTCATTGCCGAGTAGGATTCCACTGTGAGGGTTTTTCACAGTTTGCTTAAGCGTTCACCTGTGGATGGACATCCGGGTCGCTCCCGGTTTGGGACTCTCACACAGAAAGGTGCCGTCAACGTTCACGCATGTGCTTCCTGGGTAGAAACCCGGCTGTGGAACGACCGAATCACATGGTGGCTCATAGGTAAGCTTCTTCGGAGACTGCCAACCACACCGTGCAGTGGTGGTGCCACTCGCTGCCCCGCCGGCAGTGAATGAGAGTCCCAGGCCCCCACACGGGTCCTGCGTGTCAGCCACCCCGGCGGCCTGCAGCGGCAGCTCAGTGTTTTAATCTGCATACATCCATAACGACCGGTGAGGCCCGACATCTTTTCATGCGCTCACTGACATTCGTGTGTTTCCTCTGGGGGGTGACTGTTAAATCTTTGGCCCATTCTTCAATTATTCGTATTCTTACAAAGTTGTTAAGAGTTCCTTTTCAGAAACACGTTGTGCAAATATTTTTCTCCTAGTCTGTGGCTCACCTTTTCATGTTCTTAACTGTGCCTTTGAAAAACCAAAGATTCATTCTGGTTATTTATTTTGCATTGTGTGTCCTATTTACTTATACTTGCTTGTCTAGCTTGTGCGTTTTATGCCATATTTAAGAAATCTTTGCCAAGGCCTCTGAGACTTTCTTCTGTGTTTTCTTTTAGAAATGTGCATGGTCTGGGTCTCATATTCCAGCCAACAATCCGTCTCCATCAATGTGCGTGTGTGGTGCGAAGGAAGGGTTGAGGCTCATTCCATTACACGTGGCTCTCCGATTGTTCCATTGCCACTTGCTGAAAAGACCGCCCTTTCCCCATTCCATCGCCCTGCTATCTTTCTTGAAAATCCACCGCTGACAGACGCGCGGGTCGATTTCTGCACTCTGTATCCTGCGTCAGCGACCTGTTTGTCTGTACGCCCACACGACACCGTCCTGACTGCAGGGGCTTGGCGGTCAGTTTAGAAATCAAGTAATGTTGTTAGTGCCTCCACTTGGTTCTTTTCAAAGTTGTTTGGCCTATTCTAGGCTTTTTTTTAACTTCCATATGTATTTTAAAATCAGCTTTTCAATTTCTTCAGGAAAGCCTCTGGGAATTTGCCAGGACTTTTGTTGAACTGATAGATCAGTGTGGGAAGGAATTTCTACTTCAGCAACACAGAAACTTACGACCTGTGAACCCAACATGTCTGTCCGTCTCATCAGGCCTTCTTTGATTTTTTCCAGCAATGGTTTGTCGTTTTAAGTGTTCAGATTTCACATACATTTTGTTAAGTTTATAATGAAGTGTTTTTTTTTGTTGCTATGGCTACTGCAAGCAGCATTGGTTTTGAGTTCCATTTTCTAATCATTCATTACAGAATAAAAAATGTAATTAATTTTTGCATATTGAACTTACGTAAGATTTTCTACATAAACGATCATATCACCTGCCAATAAAGACCATCTTACTTCCTTTTCAATCAGAACGTCTTTTATTTCTTTTTCTTGCCTCATTCCACTGGCTGGATCCTTTAGTACAATGCTGAGCAGAAATAGTGAGAGCGGCCACCCTTGCCTTGCCTCTGATCTTAGGGAATTTTGTCCCCATTGTGTAGACAACTAGACTGAGGTTCAGTGACTTGCCCGAGAACACACTGTAGTGAATGGCAGAGCCAGGATCTGGACCCAGGGGGGCTACCACTCTTACCTAACATACTTTTAGGGCAAAAGTATGATGGCTTCCAGTACGATGTTGGGTTTCAGTATGAAAAGTAGGGCTTTCAGTAGGATGCTGGTTGTGGGCTTTTCATAAGTGCCTTATATCATATACAGGAAGTTCCTCCTGTTCCTAGTAAGAATTCACATAGCGGGTATTGGAGTGCTGTTCATGCCTGGGAAGGTAGAAGAGAAGCTGAGACCTTAGACCTGACAAGGTACGACTGGGGGGTTGATGCTGCAGCTCTGGCCACCTGTTCACGAGGGTGCTGTGTGTGCGTTATGTGCCGATGAGTAGGCTCTGACTTCCGGTGACCCACGACTGAGCGATGCCCACAGTGTCCTGTCCTCAGCAGCCCGGCGCGGCTCCTGCAGACCCAGGCCTGTGGCTTCTTTCACGGAGTCCGTCCCTCTCATACGTGGTCTTCCTCTTTCCCCGCTGCCTCCCGTTTTCCCCCATGACTGTCTTCTCCAAAGATTCCTGCTTTCTCCTGATGTGTTCCAATTTCATCCTTTTTGCCTCCATTTTTGCCTCAACCTTAATTTGCTCTAGGACCCACTTACTCCTCTTTCTGGGGGTGCGGGGTGTCTGTAGAACTCTCTCCTCCAACACCGTGTTTCAAATGAATCAAAATTTTCACTGTCAGCCTTCAACTTTCGCGTCTGTACACAGTGTGAGTGATCTTAGACTTGGTCTCGAATGACGCATCTTTGCCCCCGGGGATCTTGCCTAATTCTGCCGTTGCTGCCCTTCCAAGCCTCAGCCTTCTCTTGGCTTCTCAGCTGCCGTCTGCACTTGAATTGATGACTGAACCAAGGTGAACAAAAGCTTTAACATTCTCAATGTCTTCATTGTCTGTCTTATGGAACTACTTGATTAGAAAGTAGTTCCCGTGTGCACCTGAAAGGGCGACCTAGCATAGTGTATAATGTACACATTTAACGTGTACATTTACCAGCTTTGGAGTTGAACAGGGCTGGGTCCCAGTCGCGCCTCCTCCACACGCGAGCGGCCCTGGAGGAGACCCTGCTCTGATGATCAGTTTCCTCATTGGTAAAAGGCGATGCGATTCCTTATTGCAGCATCTCGTCGTGAGAAACGCTCGAGTGTGATTCCGTAGCACCCACTCAGCAACTACGGCTCTAACGACCACCCTGGAAGCTATCTGGGGATGAGGCGGTGGCCCCGGGGAGGAGGTGTAGAGGCGGTACCTCCTCTTACTTCCATCCGAGGCTGGGAAAAGCGAGGACAATCTCATCTGCACTCCCCTGAATCACCACGGTCAGAAACACCCCAAGTGAGGGTGGCTCTCCTTGGCCCCGACTGATGGTCCTTTAGATGCTATTTTTTTCCAGAAGCTCTGCTTTTTGCACAACAGAGCCCCGGACACCACACAAGCCGCTGGGAGTCCCCCGGGGCTGAGCACTGCTTGGCCACGGAGAAGGCCCTGCCGTGAAAGGCAGCAGCACGCTCCTTGCCCCAGAGACCTTGGCTCTAGTTCAAGGGTAAAGGGAGATAAGCCGATAGCAGACCTGGCAAAGGCACTGCTGGGATCCGTTGGAATGGGGCCACCTCGTAGAAACCTGTCACCGGGTCAGCGAGGTGTCCCGGCAGCTGAAACCTGACCCCTGCCCCGGCTCCCCAGCATGGTGGTGGGTGGCCCTGTGTACCCATCCGGCTCGGTGGGAAAAAGGTTCAGTCTGTATCTGCATTTTTTTACAGACAGGGAGCCCAGTCCTGCTTTAAAAGAGCAACATGCCCGCACCGTACACCTGAAGCTAATACAAAGGAAAAAGTGTTGAATGCAAACTATAATCAAAAAATAAAATTTAAAAAAAAAATTAAAAATAAACGAAAACAGCAAGCTTTCTTTCTAACCAGAATACCCAGGCTCAGGAGGTAAGACTGGGTTATGATCGAAATTCTCCCTGGGACCCTCTGACCATCCCCCCAAATGGTACTATCTGATTCTCTTATCAAGAGTGCAAACTTCTTCTCTCCTGTGCGTGGGGACACGGGTGCTCCTCCCGCGGAGACTCCGCAGCTGAGCGTGGGCCGTGCGAGCGAGCAGGGCCGGCATCCCTGCCGCTCACCGCGCTCCAGAGCACCCATTTCAGCTGCCTTCCCTTCCTTGTTGCCTCTCCCGGCTCTCAGTCCTCTTCCTCCCTTTTCTCTCCTTTTCCTCTTCAATTTTTTTTTACTGCAGCAAAACACATCTAACATAACATTTATCATCTTAACCATTTTTAAATGCCCAAGCCCGTGGCACTAAGGGCACGCACTGTGTGAGCGGCCATCACCGCCATCCACCCTGGAACTCTTCACCTTGTAAACCTCAGGCTCTGCCCATTGAAAACCACCCCCCCTCCGCTCTGACCGGGGGAGCTCAGGGGGGCGGGCGTCGTCCCTCAAAGCGAGAGGTTTGATTCCTGGTCAGGGCATGTGCCTGGGTTGTGGGTTCGATCCCCGCTCGTGCCTATGCGAGGCAAGCTATTGTTTCAATGTTTCTCTCTCCTACCCCCTCTCAAATAGATAGATAGATAAATACTCCCATTCCTCCCTCCCCCAGCCCCTGGCAAGCCCCGTTCCACTTCCTGTCTCTATGATTCTGATGAAGCACCTCCTATCTCCCTCTTATCTTCAAGCCATAGTCTACGCTTTCCTTCCCACTCATGGGCCCAGCTCACTTCTCTCTCTCCCTAGAAACAGCATCTGTTTAACCTCTTCCTGTGACTAAGCTACCACATATTCAATGGTTGCCAGCAGCCCTTGGAGGATTTTTAAAACTGTACCCAAATAATAAGATATTTAAGAATAATGCCAAAAGGTACAAAAGGATTATAAAAATAAAATTTCCTCCACTGTCCTTCGTCCCACCCGCCAATTTCCACAGCTCTCAGCCAACCATTGTTACCAGCTGGCTGGCTGTTTGTCCAGAATTGTTCTACAGCTACGGAGCACGTGATGTTTCATAGCAGACACTCTGGAGCCAGGGTGCCTGGGTTTGAATTCTGACTTTGCCCCTTAGATGGGTGACCTTGGGCAAATTACTTAACTTCCCCATACTTTGACTTCTTCATATAAAATGGAGATAATATAAGCATCCATTTCATAGGATTGCTTTCGAGGATTAATACATTCACAAATACACTTAGAAAATAATGTCCAGTGTGTAATAAGCGCTATGTAGACATACTTATTGTGCATTTAAAAAAGATTTTGCTTATTTATTTTTAGAGAAAGAAGAAGGGAAGGAGAAAGAGAGGGAGAGAAACATCAATGCGTGAGGGATATATTGGTCAGTGTCTCTTGCACACCCACAGCTGGGGATGCATCCTGCAACCCAAGCTTGTGCCGTGACTGGGAATCAAACCAGCGACCCTTCAGTTAGCAGGCTGGCACTCAATCCACTGAGCCACAACAGCCTGGGCTTATTATGCATTTCTACTATTGTTACTATGCAGGTATTTTTATCTTTGTTACACAAATGGGGTGGCACCTGGCCACATTTCTGCAAGTTTATTCCACCTAATAAACACACCGTGGGTACCTTTCAGTATCAACTCAACTCAACCTCGTTTGTTGTAGTGACAACGCAGCATTCAATTGTGTCGTTGTAAGAGTTGGAGTTGTTTTGAAATCCAGGACAAGAAACTACAGAGCACATGATAGCTTCTCACAGACACAGCCCCACGTGCACCTGAAACTAATATGATATTGTATATCAGCTGTAATTAAAAAATAAAAATGATTTTAAAAGAAGAATATGTCTGCAGATGACAGTTGTGGGGTCCCGGGCTGTGGGCATGTGTGGGAGGTGACGCATCAGAGCCACCGTTTGCTCTTGTCGACGCTGGACTCCCGCAGGGCAGGGCTGATTTCCTGCTGCGCGCTGGGAGCTGGTGACTGCGCCGTCCGCCTCACACAGGCTGCGCCTGTACGGTCGCTATTCTCACGGATCGATCCTTAGGAGGGGCCCTCTCCAAACATGGTTTTCCGGTCGGCCCTTGGAAAGGAAGTCATCTCCTTCCTGCCCCTTCCCATGACCCGCAGGGGAAGGGCCGTTTCCGCAGGGAAGGACTATGTATAACCTGGCAGGAAAGGCGCCCCTGAGGCTCCTGAGTGATGGGAGTATAACAAATGCATGGGCTGGCTTGTGCGTGTACACACGTGTGTGTGTGTGCACGCACGCTGTGTGCACGCGTGTGTATTGTGTGCATTGCCTACGCGTGTGTGCGTGCGTGTGTTTACTCAATGCCACGACTTCTTCCCTTTCCCTCCACCTCTGTTGACTCTCCCACAACTTCCTGCTCCTCTTCCGCCTGGGAACCAGGGGAGACAGACAACCCAGCCCCGCTCCCTGGAAAGCCATGGGGACCACATTTGGGATCCGGGTTCGACTACCTATCAGCTTCGTGATTTAACCTCTCTGTGCTGCAGCTTCCTCAAAGTTAAAGTGCTGAAGAGAATCATCTCTATTTCATAGAGTGTCTTTGCGGATTAAATGAATTAAATGCACAAAGGACCTCTACCCGTGCCTGGCACCGAGCAAGCACCGAATAAAAGCGGACTGTGTTATTACTGCATCAGAGTCATCCACCCGCCGCCTCCTCTCCAAACCCATAGTTTTTGTGTGTCGACTCCTGAAGCTTCGTGGGTTTAAAGAGAAGTCACAGGAAAGCAATCACGAAGAGGGCTAGCAGATGAAGACATTTATCCTTTTAGAAATTTTTCGCAAAGCCAGGATCAGAGCCGTGTCAGGGACCC